TTTTTTTTTTTTTTGAACTTCAATTTAACACTCAAATTGACAATATAAAAGCACAAAACAACATTTCATATCTATATATAATAATAACAAAATTATTTGTATATTATAAGTCATCAATAATTAAAATGATTTCTTTTAATTTTGATGACAATCTTATTATACTGAGTATGCTCTCGAATTTAGTAGATATGTGCTCATAAATGCTCTCGAATTTGGTAGATGTGTGCCTATAAAGATGCAAAAATTAAAATATATGTATATAAATATATCATATACAAATACAATATCAAAACTAACAAAACTCTTGACATTTTGTAAACTTAGTCGTCTGGGTGACCAAATAAATTTAATAACTTTGGCATCTAAAATAAATTGAAATTTCAAAATATGCATAAATATATAACTGCATTGATTAATAAAGAATGCAAACTAATATTTTAAAGCGTGTACGAGTGAAAATTATAATTTTTTGTACACACAATTTTCAATAATATTTTTAAATATAATGATACATCAGTTAGTATACTTTAAAATTTAAGTCATGTGGGAGAAAAATGGGAATACAATAATCAATACAATAATCATTATTACAGTTAATTTTGACCGATAAACTTATTTTAGAATGATAAGAATGCACGTACACACGCACGAATATATTTAAAATTTTAACAAAAGATAAAAAAAATAATGCTTTTTTATTCATAATCATGTTTAAATCATAACTAGTCATACTATTTCATAAAATAAAAATTATAAATATGACTAGTAACTTAGGAAATAACTGAAAAAATTTGTCAAGTAACTTTTGCGATATTTCAAAATACTCATCGTGCAAAACATGCGCAAAAATATAGAAACTACATTCTAAATGATTGCAACAAACAATAATAATAATAATAATAATAATAATAATAATAATAATAATAATAATAATAATAATAATAATAATAATAATAATAATAATAATAATAATAATAATAATAATAATAAATTATTATTATTATTATTATTATTATTATTATTATTATTATTATTATTATTATTGTTTATTAAACCGTAGTTCGATAATCTGTAAATTGGATTTAGCGCATTGGGTGAGAAAAACTAGTGCTCAGTTAATCAAAATAGATTTTGGATTAATTTCAACATTATAAAAATCATAAATAAAATCTACTGTTTATTGTTGTTGATATTATCTATTGACTAGTCCTCACTCTCATAATACTTGTATAATTCTCTCTGTTATGTAAAGTCAATTGCTATCTATATGCAATTCAAGAGAATCTGGAAAAACAATTTTTCATAAATTTCATAAATATTGAGCATATGATTGTTCATAAGAACGAAAGAGCCCTTCTCCTATAAATAGCTCTCCCCAATTGCATGACCAAACACACCACAAACTCCCCAAAACTTTTAACATTGTCTCTTAACATTGTTCTAATCCCAACACCAAAACATCCTCATCACCTTTTGCACTCTCCCAATGGACTCCTCCCAACAAAACAACCACTCGAAAAGCAACAACGGGCCGCGGAAGAACAAGGGCCGCCAAAAGATAATGATCGCAAGAATCGAGAACGAGACCAATCGTCAGGTCACGTTCTCGAAGAGGCGTGCTGGCCTCTTCAAGAAGGCGAGCGAGCTCAGCACCCTCTGCGGAGCTGAGAGTGCTGTCGTCGTATTCTCTCCGAGCGGTAAGGCCCACTCATTCGGGAACCCGAGCGTGGACGCTATCATCAACAGGTTTCTCAGCCAAGTCGCCCTCGGGAGGCCCGAGAACAATTGGGCCGACATTGGCCCGTCTAACAATCCGATCATGCGCCACCGTATCCAGGAGCTCACCAACCTAGAGGCCCAGGTGGAGCGGGAGAAGAAACAAAAGAAGGAAGAGAAGGAGGCAATCAAGGCTGGTCGGGCCCAGATCGGGGGCCCACCAAACCTCGACAGCCTCAATTACAAGCAGCTAAAGAAGTTGAAGAAATCGGCGACCAACTTGAAGCGTACTTTCGAAACCAAAATTAAAAACGCTATGACTTCGAATGCGGGGACCGGAGGAGGGATCTTACAGGGCGAGCCCGGTGTTGGTTTTCCATCAAATCCAAATGTGAGTGGGCCCACTTACGGGGCTCCGCTGGCCCCAGACGGGTCTTTGAGTGATTACGCATCGTTATTCGACATTGGGGCGAGTAGCAACCCAAATGTCGAGTTCCACAACAATGTTCAAGGGTCGGGCAACCAATTTTTTCCGGACGTGATGGGTACTAATAATGGATTTGTCAACCCTTTTGACCCAACACTTGGTAGCTATGGGTTCACATTCCCGAACCCTGACGAGGCTAGTGGTTCTAGTTTTATGCTTCCTAGTTACAGGTATGTATTTCCCAATGATGTGGGCTCACCTGGTTTTAGGCAACTCGACAAGAAGGGGACCCAACGGGAACACAAGGATATGGTCAGGACGAGTCCCAATCACACAACTATATATTTCCTAATGATGTGGTCCCATCTTGTTCTAGAAATGAGGCGACTGGACAAGGAGTCAAAACAGGAACAGAGGGCGATGATCAAGACCAATCACAAGCGTTCGACAATTACTTTGGTCGTGGAAATTGATTGGTGAGTTCGAGGGCCAAATGAATTTAGTAATGTTTTAGTAGTATTTTAAGTGTGTGCAATTTTTTTAAGGGTTGTCTTGATTGTCTTGTGTGTCTATATAAGTTGTTGGTCCAGAATGTTTGAATGTCTTGTATTATGTGTTGTGCTTGTTGAGTGTCAATAGGTTTATTTCATGTTCTTGAGATGTGGAATGAAGTCTTTCTAAGTTCTTTTCTTTCAATAACAAGGCCCTTCCAGTCCGTCCGAGCATAAATACTAGTTCACACAAATTTGAACTCAACTTAACCCAATACACGTCTTCACTATTTGGGTTAGTTTTGCATCCGCATTGGCACAAACGGTATTTATTGTTTCGTGCAGGAGGTGCGCAAGCAACGACTAAACTTGGTCACAACTAGAGTTAGGTTAAACAAGCAATATGCGCTAATTCCTATTTATGCATTCTTCAATCCCAAAAATGGCATCTGCCTAATATGAAAATCATTAATATGTGATTGTAGTCACATATATTAGTGCATAAAAAAAATTTCAAATTCAGGTTAAATGACTTTTAATATTGGATGTTGGTATTTTGTACGTCAGCGAATAAAACTTGTAAAAAAAATCACCACAATGCAATAATAGTATTGACCGATGCGGAAACAAGTAGAGAGTAATCAAAAAAACATCAAATGGAAATCTTAAAACCGAGCTAACCAAACGAATTTTATGCCAAAATCATCAAAATATAAAATTGCGCCTACAAAGATATTACATACACCAAAATCACCGTCAAGTTTTTATTTGTGCAGAAACATATCATAATTCATATATACTGATAAATGTCCAACAGGATAATTCGGCTTGTATAGTCAAGCAAAGGTAAACATGAACATAATAGAATCTTTTACTGCCAAACCACATTTTAATAAATTGCTTTTTTTGTGGTCACTGATCAGTCATCATTCTCTCAATTGGTTAATAAAGACAGTAAATACTACAAGGCCAAAAGAAATAGAAAATGAGAAATATTTATCAGCCTATAAAGAGAGAATAATCCAAAATAATACCACTTATTTCATTTGACTCGGCCAATACTTATTTTCATGCTTCCTAGTTACAATTGTGGATTTCCTAGAATGTGGTCCCACATGGTTCTGGGAATGAGGCGACTGGGCAAGAAGGCATCCCAAGGGGAACACAGGGTTCTTTTCTTTTTATAGAAGGCCTTCAATTGCCAGCATAAATAATGTTATCCAAAATCTTCATAAATTATTAAAAAAAAAAAAAAAGAACCTCTTTCGTATATGATTTCTGATAGGGTTAGGTTGTTACTAGTCACAACGATTTGAACACATTACCTCAATCCATAACACTAGTTTAAATGCTTACCATTTCGTTTAATTTGCATCAACACTTGGCTCATATAGCATTCATTCTTTCTTGTAGGAGGTTATGCAATCAGGAGCCTTTTATATTCGTCATTCCTGAAATTGGCATCTGCGTAATGTTAAATCACGGAAATGAGATCAGATATATATTAGTTCATAAAATAGTTATAAAATCAGATAAATTAGATATTTTCATGAATATGTAATCAGATATATTAGTGCATAAAATACTTTTAGAATCAAGTAAATTAGACTTTTAATACTGATTGCTGATCCGATCTATATCCAACAAATGCAGAAAGTGTGAGATATTAATATTGGGTGAAAGCCTATTATTAACATCGGTTGTTTATAATCCGATCTTGTAAGTTGCAGTACGCCTTCACACAACTAATATTGTAAAATAGGTATCTAAATGTTCTATCCCCTCAATGGAAATTTGTACATAAGTTGTCAATATAACCGATGTAGAAACTAGTTAAAAAAATTAATCGCGTTGCAATATTAGTTTTCACCAATGCAGAAGCTAGCAAAGAATATTAAAAATAAAAAATATATATGGAAACCTTCAACCAACGCTAACCTTTTCAAAATTATACCAAAATAATCGAAAAGTAAATTTGTGACTATAAATTTGTCAATTGCACCAAAATTACAGTCAAGCTTCTTCTGTGCAGAAACATTACATACAGTGATATATGCGCAAAATTAGTCCGACAAAATATTTCCACTTTCAAGCAAGGGTATAGAACACGAACATATTAGCATCTTTTCCTGTCAATTGATGGTTTGATAAATTGCTTTCTTTAAATGTGGTCAGTCATCATTCTTTCAATTGGTTGATAGAATCGCAGTAAATACTCAACAATAAGTTTAGCAGGAGTTCCAGCTAAGACCACCCTGGCGAAAATCTTCCGAGGGGAAAGCATTATATTATGAGTATATTTTAAGAGTATGGAATTTAGTTTCGTTCGTGCTTAATAGACTAGTGTTGATACCCGTGCGATGTACGGGGTGCAATACAAAGAATATTTTTCATTTAAATATAAAATTATTTAAGACAATATGGAATATATTCTTCACAATATTCTATTCAGTAATAATATGATATTTATTTATTTACTGTTATTGTTAATTTCTAAATTTGTATATTTTTTTGTAGTTTTTTAATATTTAATATATAAATTTTATTATTTATATGTTAATAAAATATTATAATTATATAAGACCATACGAAATTCGCATACGAATTACTTGTAGTACTTATAAAATTGTCGTTTATCATAGTCTTATAATTATATTTACCAATTCATAATTTGCACATTACTTGATAATTTACCAACGTTTAACCCATATTTTTCTTTCGCTATAATTGTTAAGTGTAATAAATGTTAAATACTTTGATAAATAAATTGTAATTTTTAGTGACTTTAATCATTATGCAACACAATTTTTTTATGGTTAAATATTTTATTTTTATGTTTCTATTTTTTATTTATATTTATTTCTTTAATAAGTTTTTTCAGCCTGTATAATGAATTACATAGTATCTATTCGAATATTTAGATATATTATATATTTCTATAATTATCAAGTGCTATAATCTAAATTATTATACATTACTTTTTAATTAAATTATTTTTTATTTATAAAATAGTATATAATAAAAAAATATATTTTTAAAAATTGAATAGTTTTTAATGTACATAGATACTCCTTAGATGAAATTTATAATCTAAATTGCACTCGACCATCAAATTTTAATTTTATTAGTATATTATTTAAATTTTCAATGGTACTGTATATGATATAATCAATGGGGATGTATATTTTTATAGTTAAATTGACTACATTTTTAAAATTTTTATTAATATTTTATATTATTTATTTATTAAGTTATTATGATTTAAATATAATTATTCAAATTTTATTAAATATTTTAAGTACTTCTGAATAGTGAATATAATTAATTAAACTAACACCTACAATCATAGATGATAATATATTTAATCAAATCAATTTCCATAATAATTTATTGAAATGTGTCAATAAATTACTATTAAAATTAGTATAAGATCTTATTGAAAATTATCTAATAAATCTACGGTCAAAATTTCAATTTAAGCCAATTTGTAGGTAATGAGTAATAATCATTGAGTGTATAAAAATTAATTATGTTTTTCATGTACAGATTTGTTAATAAATAAATATTAGTTAAATACTAAATATAGACGAAAAAATTCCCCGCCCAAAATCAAGCCAATTATGGCGATAAAGATTGGTCCATTATATAGATATAGATATAGATTAATATAACCAGTAAGAGTCGGAATTTAGAAAGTCAACACAACTTCTCAACTGTAAGTTATTTTCTTTTCCTTTCCTGTCTCTCGATGCTAAATGTTGGATCAGTTCTTAATTAATCAACTTATATTTTCCATTCCAATCAATTATAGGTATGTATGCACTCGTGTATGTAGTCTACCACAAGAGGCTTGTTCAGCAAAATTTACAGATTATTAGCCCAAAAGATAGAAGTCCATTTTAGGGAATTTAGTCCCAAGAAAAACAATCAAATAAACAAACAATTAATAGCTAAAGACTTAAGTAATTAAGAATCTTTGTTTTCTATATAACTAAAAAAGGAGCCATAATAAATGTCATTTTTAATAGAATATTACAACCTTAAGGAAATTTTTATAGATCAATTCACTGAATAACGAACTAGCGTACAATTGTGCTTACCAATTTTGGCAATTATCTGAAGGCCAGAACAAAATACACTGTACTAGAGGTATATATAACAACATCAAAAGATCAAAGTTTCTCAGTAAGATATACAAATCAAGAAAGATTATCAACTCCTAAAGATAATAAATAATAGTCAAGAAGAAAAGTACTGCATACTTCATTGAGAACACCCCAGAGCGTAGTCATCAATAAACATGCCCAAAGATAATAATAACGATTATGAAGAAGTATTACATACCTCATTCAGGACATCAGCCATTGCAGTTTCTGCAGGAAACTGCCTAGCAAGTAAAAAGGGCATGTTATTTCTAAGAACTTAACAAGTTCTAGATAACAGCACATTATATACATAGCTGCATTTAATATTTATGATTGCCAACATCGATACTTAACTTGAAGTTCAAAAACTTCCAAGTTCGGTTGACTAGTGCAATTGGATATGAATTCTTTCTCTTGCGAATTTGTGGCACCGTAGTAGAATCATTACCAATAATTGGATATGGGTTCAAAACCAAAAAGTTCTCCATCCAATAGCACTTAGACACAGCATAACATAGACACAAATAATACATGCACAAAAGTACCATTTGCCATAACTAATATACTGAGGTGAATTTACGTAGCATCATCAATAAGCAAGCAAAAGAAAGGATTTTTTCATAAAAATAATCTCTCAAAGTATTTTCTGAAGAACAAATTCAGCCAGCTATCATCTTCCCTGATAAAATTGTACCAAATATACCAACGGTGAATCGTATCTTTGTCAACTTCCTCCGTGAGTGAGATCTTGCTCCTACTACCTTCCAAGTCGCCGGGAATTCACCTGACGTTAAACCTTCGATGATTCAGTTCGTAAATGATATTGACAGCTTATAGAGGAACTACTGAACTGTGAAAAAAATGGGGTTTACCTCTTACTTATCTAACTCATACACAATAAGTCTCTCCAGCTGATATATGATGAAACCTTCAGTTCGTGCTTCGACCTGTCTAATTCGTACACAGTAAACCTCTATGCTATATTCGAAAAACAAAATATGTATCTATCTCGATAAGGCCACAACCATATGCCATTCGCGCGCGAGAGCGAGCAAAATACATTCTACCTAATTAGCAGTGTTCTAGAAGTCGCTAGGCGCCCGCTAGGCGCTCGACCAGCGCCTAGCGC